ATGCAAAAACTTTCTAAAATGACGAGCTTGATTGTTGAGCTTTGGGCTTGCAAAAAATTTCTAGGATGATGAGCTTGATTGTTGAGCATTGGGCTTGCAAAATATTTCTAAGATGATGAGTTTGATTGTTAAGCATTGGGCTTGCAAAAAATTTATGAGATGATGAGCTTGAGGGTTGACCATTGGGCTTATAAAAAAACTCCAGTCTTGATCTTAAAGTTATGGCCTCTGCTTTGACTTCTTGCATTGTTATCCAAACTAATATAGTCATTAAAAATTTAAAATATACATTAGCTTGGCAACCAATTGAAAATATAAACCAATTGAAAATGGAAAGAACTAAGCATTTAACATAAAACATATGCCATTATATCCTAATACATTTAATATATAACAATCAATTAGTGCAAATGTATTATCAATATACTATCAAAAAAGCGAATGGTGTACATAGCGAAGTCTACATATTGTTTTGCTCAGCTTCAGGCTCCATTGTGGGAATTTTCATGTCGGACCTGCATAAGTTGCAAAATAGTGATTAGTTGATGCATTATTTCAAATTCACAAGAAAATATTAAAGTATAACAATATTAAATTATAATTGAAAGCATAATTATAATTTTACCCTTGAGTTCTAAAAGTTGGACAAGTTCGCCTATCGTGCCCTACATTTTGGCAAACAGAACACGTCCTCATGCTTGTCTTCTCTTCACATGGTGCTTTCTTTCTTGCAGTGCTAGGCCGCCCTTTTGTTCGAGCACATTGTGGTTCAAGTATAAAAGTGTTCGAATTAGTCTATGGTGTATAACTATGACTAAGCATTACATCATTTATATTGCTACCTTGATTCGAACAAGTTGCCTCTTTTTCATAATCCAATCTCTTCCTCTCCACTTTTTCATTATACTCCATAAGTTTTTGTAAATTCCCAAAGTCTTTCACTATCTGATCCGTTCGATACAACTTTAAAGGCGACTCTACTTAAATCATCGTAACGAGCAGTTTGAGACTCCTTATAGTCAACCTTAATTTGAACACCATCGCCATCTGATACCATCCCTTTGTTTCCTTCCTTAGTCCATTTTCTTATGATGTAGTACTCGGGAATGAGCATAACATTATTTTAATAGAAAACCTAAGACATGTGCACAAAGAATACCATTATGTTCATACAAGCAAAATGTACAAGTTGTTGTAATTTCTGATTCATTGAATACCACTTTATATTGTGGTCGATTAGCATCATATTTATACACCTTATATGTGGTGGTATCATACTTATACATCCTATATGTGGTATTTGGTCGATCAACTTCTATAGACTCTACAATCATGAGAGGTATCTTTTGAATTTCCTAAATACACTATGAGTATACAACTTAGTAGCTTGTTTTTCATAGGGGAATGTCGTTCTCATTATTGGAATACCTTAAGTGCTCTTAAAGTCCATCATATTTTTTTTCTTATATAGATGATCAATTGCTTTTTGGCACTGCTTTACAAATCCTGAAAAATTAGTGTGTGAATTTACATACTGTTTAATAAAACTATTCATAGTTACACTCTGTTGATTAGACCGTGCACCATCAAGAAATGTATCATTCATATATACATCAACCCATTGAGAACGACGTCCATATATTATGTCCAACCATTCATTTCCCCTGAGCTCATATTTTTGGAGCATTTTGGACCAACGATCCTCAAAATCATTAATTGTCTCATTATGGTTAGTAATGATTCCATTCAACTCATGTAAGAACCTTGGGTGCTTCCGCTCAACATGGCCCAATTTTTCTTGAAACTTTCATGAAAGGTGCCATCTAGATAATCGATGCCGTGCATTTGGAAGAACTTCTTTAATTGCAGCAGCCATGGTTGCATCTTGATCATTAATGATGCAACCCGGTGCTTGACCCTACATAGCGTCTAACCAATGCCCAAACAACCAACTAAAAGACTCTATTGTCTCATGCCTAATTAATGCACAACCAAAGACTATATTGTTTTTATGGTGGTTTGCTCTAATAATAAGGGTAAAAGGCATGTGATATGCATTTGTCTTATATGTTGTATAAAAAATAACTACATCATCAAAGTACTCATATGATATCATTGATCGCGAGTCAATCTATAGCACATTACAAACTTAACCTACTTCATCAAGTTGTATTTTATAAAAAAAACTATGGGTTCGCCTCAACACGCTCACGAAAGTACGCCAAAAGAGCCTCTCCATCCCTCCCTCTAATACTCGTCTTCCTACAAGTTCTATGGATAAAGTTTTTGACATCTACGTGAGTGAAGCCCAGAGCACTTGACCGATTCACATGTTCTGTTAAAATTTACATAATTTTATGTACACCAAACCTTGCTGAAGATATCGCTTTAATCAAATTCATGGTAATTGTTGGGATAGCCCAATGTGATCTCAAATGTAAACTTATGGGAATGCTCCTCAACAAATTTCATTACAACCCACTTTCCCTCTTTCATCCTGCGTACCCTTAACCTTGCTTCGCATCCCTCCCTTGTTATTGGTCGAGGATGAATTTTTCTTGCATACTTTGGATCACGTTTACCTTCTTTTGAGCAAACATAATCTCACATCCTCAAATTGTTGTCATTGTCCTTCCTTGGCCTCTCAAGACGAATGCTAAAGCCTTGTTGTTGGGCATATGTATTGCAGCATTCTCAGATTCAAAGTTCATTCTTACAAATAAGTCCTTTTGATGCTCACTATTGTCTTGTTGATCACAAAACAGTGGGACCTCATTGTCCTCACCATCCCCAGTTACTATGACATTATCATAACTCGCTTCCATAAAATTGTCTTTATAGAACTCATGCTGGTCCATCTTTATAGAAAAAACATTATTTGGATGTTATGAAAGGAAGCTAAAGAAGTAACATTTTTCCTTTTTGATAAATAATATAGTTGATAATGAGAGATAAATCCGAGGCTTGGGTATATGTAATCTACAAAGCCAAGACACCACACGCGATTAGGCAGTGAATTGAGCACTGAGCAAAGAAGTGTTCGATTAAGTAATTCATTGAGATAAGCAATCACCATTCAATAAAAAAAAATGCCAATTTAAGGGGGTGCCTTGTTTTTTCTTTCTCTTTTCCTTTTTTTTTTTTTGGAGCAAGGTTTAAAACCAGTAGCCCACTTTTGCAAATTCACAATTTGTGTCTCATTCAGTGATCAAAGACAAGAATCCCCTATCAACATGGATCCTTAAAATGACTAAAGAAATACTATTAGTTCAAAAGTTCAACAAAAAAAAAATGTAGGAGCCACAGTTTTAAAGGATCCACAAATTAACTAAAAGATATTGCTTGGCCCTGATATTCATAAAAAATGGCAAGGATAATCAGTTCAAAATTCATAAAAGGAATTTTCCCCTCAATGGGTCCAAAAAACAAACAGGTAACCACTACCTCAACTTTCAGATTAAAGAAAAAATGGAAGCAATCCTATGCCTAATGGATTCTAAAAATTGCATAGAAACACTACTAAGCTCCAAATTTCACAAAAAAACAACGCTCCAAAAATTTCACAAAATAGCAACAAGCCCTACCAAGATGGATTAAAAAAAGTAACATAGAAAATTTCCATGGCAAGAACCTACTAAGCTCCAAGGCATCTTAAAAATAAAAAAGTCACCACTTTGCTCAAATTTCACATAAAAAAACAGCTATCAATCCTTCATAGCTCTAAATTTCACAAAATTAGTATCATTCAAGAAACAAAGATAGAGAGAGATAATAAACAACTCTAAATTTGACAAATAATGCTAGAGAGAGAGAGAGCAAAAAGCTATAAATTTCACAAATGATGCTACAGAGATTACTTTAAAATATACACACGCGCAAACACACATCTAAATTAAATAAAAAGGAAAATAGACAAATATCAAACCTGTGATCTGCAAATTAATGGCGAAGATGAGAGCCTTGGGTGCTGACCTAGAGGCTTGGGCACGGCGAAGAGCAGCGGCTACCCTGTTGTCGGGATGACCGAGCAAATTGTCGAGCCTCACACTCGACCACCACCAATCAACCACAAGTGGCTTCAAGAGCCAATCGCCAAGGGGGATTTTTGTTTTCTGGCAAAGCAATTCTTGGCCCTAAGAGAAAAGAGGTCGCCAAGGGGTGGGCCCACCCTCTTTCTCACTCCTCTTCAAGAATCTTCTTGCCTCCTACCTGCCTTTCTTGTAGACTCTCTCTAGGATCTTCCTGCTCTAATCCTTTGAAAAAAAAAACTCTCTCCCTCTCGGGAAAGCTTTCTATGCTTCCCCTATAGCATAGAGAAACTATCCTCTCCCTTCAAGAACCTCCCTCTTCCTCTTTTAAAGGTGCGTGCTCTCTCTCCTCTCCAAGAAGCCCTCTCTCCCTCTTTTACCGTTGTGTGCTCTCTCTTTCTCTCGCACTAGTTTATGTGTGCTCTCCCTCTCCTCCAAGAAACCCTCTATCCCCTTCTTCTCCTATGCTCTTTCTCTCCAACAAGAAGCCCCCTATCTCCTTCTTCTCCCGTAATTTCTCTCTCTAAAAATGGGTTTCTCTACTACAGACTTATTTCAAATGGGTTACCGGTTGATCCCGTGCCTCCCATTTTGTCACAACTTGAGTGAATGAATATCAACCCTCCATTTTAAATTAATGGTTAAAAAAGTAGGGGAGGATAAAACTTCTATGCTATAGGAGAAGCGCAGAAAGCTTTCCCTTTGTATTGGGGGTATTAGCTAAAAAAATTGGTTTTGGGAAAAAATATGTTAAAAAAAATTATGATGGGGTAAAGTGCCTAAAAAGTCTATATTTGTCAAGATTTAATTTGTTACAATAGTGATTTCCAGATGTGTAAAAAGAAAGGCTGAACTTCCAACCAGGGACTAATTGTACAATATGCTCCCGCTGGAGCACCGTGTACTCGGTCGGCAAGCAAAGCGTTCCCCGACTGCGCGATGTCTCAAAAGAAGGGAAAGGCCAAAAACAATCTCTCCTCTCTACTTGAACTACACGTTTACCGCTGTGGCTTTTGAGGCTTTTTCTCAATCTCTTCCCTTTCCTCGTCTTTCTCAGTCTCGTAAACCCAAAGGAGCAAACATCCCCTTCAGGTTTTTAGGGTTTATCACTATTCCACCAGGGTTTCTGCTTCTATTGGTTTTGTTTACAGGGTTTCAGGTTCCTCTTATTTTCTTCAGCTCTTCAAGATGGCCCAAGATCCCAATCAAAGCACCAACTCAGAGCAGGCGTCTGTTAAAGTCCCATCTAAAGACCCTAAAAAGAAGAAGGATGAAAAGAAAGATGAAGATTTGGTAAACATTTTAACAGTTTATTGTTCATTAATATACATTGTTTTGTTGAACGTGTCCATCGAGTCGTCTCGTACTTAAAAAATTATCAATTTTTTGTTTATTTTGGGGGGTTTATGGTTTTTTTGCTCCAGTCTGATGAGGATTTGGCTTTGAAACAACAATTGGAACTGTATGTTGAGAGAGTCCAAGACTCTGACCCAGGTGTCCAGAAGTTAGCTCTTGAAAGTATGAGGTAAGGGCCTGGTTTATTGTCCTTTCCTAAAATCATCTTCCTTTTCCATTCACTGTTGTTATTGTTATTGTGATTTGTTTATTTGCTCATTTGTTTGTCTGATTGATTTAGTCCCACTTTTTATCTTGACATCTTCTTATTTATTTGATTGATTAGTGCTACGTATTTATTTTAGTGTACAATTGATATTCCGATTCAATTTAACGATTATTGTTGCCTTTTAGTTGGTGTGAGTGACTGTTGGAAATTCAGTGTATCTGTGACTTGCAAGTGCTCTGAAATCATGCTTCATGAAGTGGCATCAAATAGTTTATTTTTGTCTAAGGACTATGGTTGCCTAGTTCAACTTTTCTGGATTGCTACTCCAGTGCTCTCCATTATATTATAGATGTCAAAGTTAGAACAGTCAAGACTAATGTGAGTGCTATTATGTTTCTCCCTCTCTCGCTCTACCAGTCTGAGAAAACGTAACTAGCTAATTTTGTCATGATTTTTTATCATATTTGACAAGCTACCTTGGAGCATCCTTCCTGACATTATAGGTCATAGCAATCTTTTGCCAGCATGGAACCCTTGTTCAAGACTTGAGAGCATCATATCTGCCATTCCCTTTTCTTTTTTCTTTTAGATTAGGTCATCTGTTCCATGATATGTTATCCAAATATGGATATCCTTTTTAGGTACAAACATTTTTCTCATTCAAATGCGTCTTGAGTTGTGCGCACCTAGAATTATCAGTTTATATGGTGTCAGACACTGAGAATCCAACTCTCACTGAACATCAGAATTCCTTTGTCCTCCTTGCTGAAAAATCTCTTACCCCAATTGAGATCTGAATTCTCTTAAAAATATGAATAAAATGTGGTTCTCAAATCTCTAAAATGGGTTTTAGTTCCTTCTGAATCCAGATCTTTGGCAAATAACAAATTCTTTTTGATAATAAATAACATTTAATAAGAGAACAAGATCATCGAACTCTTGGATTACTAGAAACTCCCATGACGTAGAACATTGATTTCATTCATTGGCTTCTTTGTCTCCTTCTAGGTGGTTTCTATCCTAAAGTTTCCAACCTCACCGTTTTCTCTTACAGCTCTATGAACACGCTTACATATTGAACAACTTTGCATGCTTGTTTATGCGATCGTCAGAAAAAAATTAGAAAAGAAAAATTCTTGTTGAATATATGTTCCAGGCAACTATTTCTGACATGCAAGATGCAGTATGAAATTTTAAATTTCTCTTTCCTAGACTCTTGAGAAAAGGACTGGGATACTAGCTTGGAACCAACTCTTGAGTTCGCGTCTATAAATATGACATGCTATTTTATTATAATATGAAAGTGATTATGCTATTTCTCTATCCACGAATTGGGGTTGGGCCACTAAAATTCAAGCAACTAAGTCTTGGTTCCGCATGCTAAATTAAGAAGCCAAGTTCCTCATACTTGTGAGGGTGTCCCACACTAGCTTAATAGCCCTAGGCTTATGTAATTGATGACCATGGATATACTGACAGAGAGGAATGTCCATCGTCTCCTCCAAACTTCGATGCGTGGGCTTCGTATGAGAAGTAGAACCCTCAATTTCGGAGATGGAAGTTGAAAAGAATATTGTTTTACAATGAAACTTACAATACATGTTTCTTTTATCTCCTTTTGCTTCACAAGAACCAAATTTGTTTCCTCGAATGTCTTGCAAAAAATGGGGGGTTAATGGTCATTTTCCTCTTGATAGCGTGTTGAAATGGTCACCACTACAAGCTCCTCCTCTTCCCTACACTGTGCACTTGTCAGTATGAGAAGTATGAGAAGGTGGTTATTGTGGCCATGTTAGGAGATGCTATAGTTGTATGCATATATACTACTGATTAGCTTGTTACCAGTGGATTGCTTGTCCTAAAATATGAAATTTCAGTATATCTTAATTTCCAATCCGAAGCTATATATAAGGTTAGGAGTTAGAAAAGGGCTATTTGTTTGGATGAACTTATCAGAATTCTACGGTGGATCTATATGAAAACCCAACTTTTTAAGCAAGTAGGTTCATTCAGGTGTGTTTGGTATGCTTGGAGTTGAAGTTACATAATATGCGTGTGCATGTGTTGAGTTACATATGCTAATGAAACAAGAAAAATTTGTAAAAAGGAGTTACATGAAAAAATTGGCAACTTAGTAAAAAAAAAAAAGCACATCAAGAAACTTATATGAGAATTTCAAGAAATTTATCATATATTTCCTATTGTTAGCATGTTGAAATGGTTGCACTGTGAGGTTAGCATTCTCCTTTGGTGATTATTCGAGCCATATTTAGAAAATTTTCTCTTGTCTGCATATGTATTATTTGGCAAGCTACTTATGCTAAAATGCAAAATCTCACTAGATACGCTACTTCTAATTTTAGGAGATGGAAACAGATCTAATGGTAGCAGGGATGAACTTGTCGGCATTTTGTGGCAGATCTATAGGAAAATCTGTCTTTTTTTGGCAAATAGTTTTTGGCAAATAGGTTCATGATTTAGGAGTGTCCAATAAGCTTGGAGTTCAATTATTGCATGTATCTGTGTGCATGTGTGGGTTGTATACGCTAATGTAACAAGAAAATTTTGGAAAAGGAGTTACAGGAAAAAAATTGTAAAATAAGTAGCGATATAGAATAATAGATCACAAAACTTATAGGAGCATTTCTATCTATATATTTTTAGTATGTATGTATCTATGTGTGTGTGTGTGTGTGTGTGTGTTTGTTTGTTTGTTTGTATCTGTGTGTGTGTGTGTGTATATATATATATATATATGCTGCGCATATTCTGTGAGTTGTAAATACTTATGGTTCTGGCAAATTGGTCCCTTTTTTTCCTAGCTTTGTTTAGTATTTATTGTTTATTTTCTTCAATAGGCAAGAAATACGCACTTCAACAAGCTCCATGACTTCCGTTCCAAAACCCCTGAAGTTTCTTCGTCCCCATTATGGTACTTTGAAAGCATACTATGAGGCAATGGCAGATACTGATCTTAAGGTGGGACTTTTTACGTTTACACCTCTCAGTGTTTTTGTGGTTAATGTTGCATGACCCACTCATTTGTTTCATGCAAATTACAGAAATACTTAGCAGATATTCTCTCGGTTCTGGCGCTGACCATGTCTGCAGAAGGGGAGCGGGTATGTGAAAAGTGAACAGTGAAACTATTCCATATGGTCTATTGATTTCCTTTCAATATCTTAGTGACTAAATTCTATTTGGACCTCAGAGAGTTAATGTATAATGGAACCCAATGAATGAATATTTAAATGCCGACTTAAACAAAAAGAAAACTTTCAATGGTAACATGTATTTGTCAGAAGGTATAGTGGTTGTCTTGTGCATATGTTTCTCTATTCTCTCTTTCCATGTACGTATCTTGATTACTTCTGTCAGTAAGATGGTTTGTTCTTGTCTATTGGCTGCTTTCTTGTTTTTCCATCATGCAGCTAATGGGATTGGTTCCTTGAATTTGACTTGTCAACTATGCTTGCAAGTTTTGCTTAAGTTACTTGCATATCTTTAGAGGGTACTCTCGGATTAACCCAAAACTCTACTCCAAACTCTTTATAGTAATACAAAAGTTAACGTTTATAAAAAAAAAATGTTACTTGCATATCTTTGTAGAGCTTTATAATATTGAAATTTGAATTTTGTTATTTTTGCTGTGGTTACAGTTTGCAACCAACTTATACCGAATGAGTCGAACAATTTATAATACCTTAAATAATCCATTTACTATTATTCATCATTCCTCAACAATATAGTATGTTTGCTTGTCTATATTTGTAGGAGAGCTTGAAGTATCGGCTGTTGGGGTCAGAAGGAGATATTGGTTCATGGGGCCATGAATATGTACGGTAAGTATTTTGTCATGAATGAAGATTTGGATTTTAGGTTCCTTGTTCTTTTCCTTTTCATTTAGGATTTATCTTATCAAATGAGAAAATACAATTATGCGTTATCATATGCTTATTAGACATTTTTTCCCATTGGATTATATGCTTATCATACATTTCTAGGTTTGCTTGATGGTGTATTTTGAAACTAATGACTAAGGGGGATACGACACGAAATTGTTCATTTTAGATTGATGTTTCTCAACAAGATCTTTGTGCTTCAAAAATATTGAGTCCCCTGTCATTTAATAAATTCACTGGATTAGGTTGTTCGAGATGGATACCATATTATTGTTCTTTTATAGACATTAGTTGATGCAACAAATATTGGTGTTTCAAAGATAGAAGTTGGTTTTGTTTTATGCTCTGTTTTTCTTTATTGGTGGCCAATGCTTGTCTATGGTGGGACGCAAGTAGAGACCATGAAACGTGTGAAATGGCCGTGAAACATTTCAAATTCTAGGAGTTATATAGAGCTTTGATGTGTTCTCATGAGAAGAGGTTGTGGAGGTTCTTGTTAGAGATGAATCACTGAGTTCCATTGGGTCTTGAAATTCGATTTGGAAGAGTTTCACAATCTCATTGCATCTTTGTCCTGTATTGGGGGTGATTTCTGTTATTGATTTTATGGAGTTTCGGTTGGAAAAGAGCTTAATCCTATCTGATTCAATTCATCCTAAAAGAGAAGCTTAACTTATGTTTCAAATTTTTTTCTTGAATACAAATATAGTAAGAAACTGTATGTAACACATATATCAAGACATAAGATTATAATCTACGCTCAAAATGTTAAAACTACTTTCAACTTGAAATGTATATCAGATGAAGTCGTTTATGATACTACTTCAATTAAAATGGTGTGCATCATACGTCAAAAGACTGGTAATTTTTTTCAAAAAAAAAAGTTTAGGTCAATTGATTTAACAATCAGGAGAATTCCAAGTGAACTGTTTGTAATTCCATTGCAAAGGTTTTGAGTTACAAGGGTATGAGTACAGTGAATCCCCACCCCAGCAAAATGTACTCTTCTAATGTCCCACATTGAAGTCAAACATCCTGCTGACCGTGTTCTTGCTTCTCCTACTTATACTGGTCCCCAAGAAAGAAGGATGAAAGACCCCCTTGGCCTCGACACTCTAAGCTACAAAGTTTTATTTCTTGGTGTTGTCTCTCTCAGTGCCAAGCCTACCCAAATCACCATAGCAGATGTTGTCTGTCATTATAGAGTCTCTCAGTGTAATGATCTGCCTGAACCTCATCTCCTACCTCTGTGCTGGCATCAATTGTCTGCAAGTTTCAGTCATGTATCACTAGCCCTACACTCTCCTATACATATCTTGTTGACGTATGAATATGATTAGGCATTAGCCTTTATTAATGATGCTGTTATTTTAGAAAATGGAAGTAGCAAAAGTTAGTCTGAAAATTTTTCATTTTACTGTTTAGAAAGGGTTTCCAAAGGTCGTTTTGAGCAAGATGAAGTCAAAATTGAAGCCGAAGGACTAGGGAGGTCTCGAGGGCTACAGAGTGTATTGATAGACATTTACTTATAATTGCTGGAGGTCTTTAACAGTTCCATGCAGTCTTATGTGTTACTTGGTTCTTATACCATTCTTGACATTGATTCAAATGATGTGTACAGGGTTCTTTGGAAGTGCTGGGCATGTGACATAAACTTATCCAGATCTTTAGAAATATTGACTCTGAGTTTTATGGAGAGTACATTTGGCTTCCTATCAATAAGCTTTATCCCCAGCACGCTTTTTGTATTTTTTCCAAATTTTCTGACTGTGTAGGATAGTGTCCACAATGGGGTTTCCTACTCTGGATAATAGGGATTGGTCTTTTTTTTTAATCCACAAGAAAAAGTTTGCAGTATTCATATGCACTGTTTTAATTTAATGATTAAATCTCTACTATGGGGGGTAATTTTGTTTGCAATTTGTGTGCTACATTTTTTTCTCTTGCTCGTCCTTTTCCCTATATTACTATTGCTGTATTATTTATTGTTATTATTATGATGATGATTTGTATTTTTTACCTTGGGAAAGTGTAGGGTCCACATGATGTGGGCGCTTGAATGGTGCACAAGCACCCTCTCAATAGTTTAGATTACAAGGGAGGAAAATGGATGGTCACGATTGCATACAGTTCTTTGGTTTAAATTTTTTATACAAATTGTATTAACTTGAAATTTTTTATGTGCACATTTCTCAATGAGGCACCCCTAAAATAAATATAAAAAATTGCAAAAAAGACTAAACTACTGGGATGTAGAACAAAATTAAAATGAAAATACAGTATGAAATTGGGACTGGCATTTTCTTCCATTCTAATATGAACCGTTGGAGGGTGCTTGGGTACCATTTGAGCATCATGTGGATGCTCTACCAACCCTTTTGCGTTGTTGCTTTACTGTTAATGCTTTGTTTGCAACAAAAGCATTGTTTTACTGTGAACCCTGGTGTTTCCTTTTTTTAGATTATCCTTCTGCTTCGTATCTTTTCATTTATTCAGGTTTGAATAACTTGAGTGTGATTGATACTTTTTTCTCTGAAAATATTGTTCTGGTCAGGAACCTTGCTGGTGAAATTTCTCAAGAATATACAAAGCGCCAGGTTATGTTGAATTGTTTTGAACTTTCCCAATAGTAGAATTTTTTTGCTTTGTGCTATAGGCCATGCATGTTGGATTTGTTGGGTGGTTACCACTACTTTGAGGTTCTTGTTTGTGCTTCCAGCCCCTATTTTGATGAACCGTCTGCTTTTGATGCTGGTAGATTTCACACTAAATGAAACTTGATGGCTGTTGCAGTTGTGTTTTTCCCATAATCTCATTAACTGTTTTGCTGTTGTTATTGGGACTTAATTAGGTATGGAATGCTTGCACATTCACAAACTGTTTACCTAATAAATATTGAATGTTGAAAATATTTGACACAGAAATTATGTAATTGTTGACATAATAGACAAAATGCATGGAATCACGTGACTGGACCTTGGAAGGTATTTGGGATTTGTTTCCCATACTTTGTTTCTACAATAGTTTATGTGGTCAAAGACTTTGAGACTTTAAATTGGTAAGACTTGCTTGGGAAACTGTTGAGATGAAAAGCAGACTTGTTTTTTGTGAATGTAGCCTTAGTAAACATCACTGCTGGTGAAGTACCATATTTCCTCTCTAGCATAGATGTCAATCAATCACTTCTGTCTTCCTTTTCTCTGAGATTGTTAGGTATGATTTGTTTTTTGGGTGAATAATCAATTGCCATTTCAGGCTTAATCTTTCAGTATTTTGCCCTTCCTGGTGTGGTGTACCATCTGAAAAGTCAGAAAATGTCTTGTAGTGAATGTGGAAGAGGCCTTTCTATAGGATTGCTTCATTCTCCTCCTGCTTGAAATTACCTGCTGTTTCTTGTGGATATAATTCTAATGGCGTACATTAAGTTACATTGGACACTACAGACAATCGAAGATGTATACTAAAGAATAGTATGGGTGGTTATTGGAGTGAGAGATCATTCCCACTATAGATGAAGCTCTTTACGGTTCCACCCACTCTTTAGGTTAAAGTCAGCTCCTAAGTAGCAACTCTAAGCGCACGTTTGTTTTTTGAAATATATCTTTTGGAAAGTTGAATGTTTTTAAATCTTTTGGAAGTTGAATGTTTTGTTCTAGAAGGTTTAAATAAGTTATGGGTACTATGTATACATATATATTAACAATATAAATATAAATATATTATATATATAACATAATATAATATTAATAT